AGAGGTCTGCTTTGCACATCTCCATATTGCCAGTTTGTTTGGCATATGTGACTTTTTTGTGAATTATCACTTTGCTATTTTGTTCTTGGAACATGAGTTTTATTAAGCTAATTGTTAATTTAAAAACACTGTGGGACTCCCAGTTTTCTTAGCATTGTGAATATTAAATTCCAGCTCATGGAATCACCGAGGGCTCGGTCGAGGCTGCCTAATTTCTAAAATCAGCAGTTGTAATCTCACATTGAAGTGTTATTCTTTCCTGTCCTATTTTCTCCCCCTGCTGAGGCACAACTTTCATTGACCTACCCATACAGTTGAAGCTTTAAATAATTCCAGAATTCCTTCTGAAAGGAATGTCTAGTTAGGGAGCATTTCTTTTTCTGGATGGCATTTCCTTTTGCTCTCATTTCCTCCTTGGCTGAGCTCTTTGTTTCACACGTTGCTTTTCTTTTTCTTTGTGCTGAACAAAACCTCCTAACCAGCCCTATTTTTGTTTCCTCTGACACCAGCACGCTGTGCCTGCCTCTCTTGCGCTTACATTGAAATCACCTTCTTTGTGGGTTGCTTTTCGTTGGCATGGGATGGTGGACAACGAGCCAGATTGGAAGTTGGCCAACCAGAGCTTGGGTAGTTGTGTGGAGGAAGCATCCTGCTCGGGTGAAACGAGGCAAGGCAGATCTCAGGCTGGGTGTATGGTGGGCTGCCAGACTCAGAGCTCTGATGTTGCATCAGCAAGGAACAAACTGACTCTCAGTCCTGTATAGCAGCAGCAACATGTGCAACCTAATTGTCAGCTGAGAAAGGTCCCCATGCCATGATCCACAGGGATGCCCACTATCAAAGGGAGATTTCACCCAAGGGGAGGGCAGAAGTTCCTGGTTCTCTAGGCAGGACAGCAAGGCACCGTCAGTCAAGACAAAAGTCAGCACCTTGGAGGAAATAATGGTGTGGTTTCAGGACCATGGACAGTGGTCCAGCAGTTGAGACTGAGCATTCAAGTTGTTTCAGCAAGGTCCAGGAGCACCTGGCTGAGTTTTATAGCAGAATTAGGTAGTTACTGACTGGAAGTATGTCTCTAGTCCACAAAGTTGTAAGAAAAAAAACTTAGGTGTAGCTAGGGATGGACAAATCTGATAATCTTACTTTCTCTTGGTTTCTCATTTTTCCACTCTTTAAGTTCAGTTCTCCACCTTTCTTATCAGTTCGTGATTATTTTTTTAAAGTCCTCATAAAAACTCACAAGCATTTTAGTGTGAATTTCTCCTAATACACACATCTTTGTATGTAGCTGTGCCTAACATACACACTTTTGCAAAGCAGCTTTCCCTAATACTTTTTGGATCTTAATTTTCTTATACATGCATTTTAATGTGTACATTTTTGTATCATGCTATGTGGCTGGAGAACTGCATTGCAAAATTTTGGATCTGTGAATTTTGAAGGATAGTTTTGTGATGGTTCACGAATTTTGGAAAGTGCAAATCAGGTAGGTCCGCCTTTTAAATACAATTGGATTTAATTTCTCCCCATCGCTGTGTCTATCAAAGGAGGATACTCCAGTTACTAACCCCTCTAGAACTAACTTTTCTTCTCTCCTGCTCTCTTCTCTTGCAGTTGATTCAGCCTGAGGCCTTCTATGGGTTTACTTTCCTCTAACTTTTAAAGTGCGATGCCCCAGCTTCATTGACACAGAGACGTTCCTAATCTTATTGGGTGTGTATTGCCTGGTTTTCAGTGCATGCCTTCTAAATCTGCATGAGAAATCACATGCCCTTGAATGACGTTTGATTACTGTACCATCACATCTAACCTGCTCCATGAGCTGTCAATTTCATTGCAAAGAGGATACCGTTTTTGGTCCTGTCGTCTTCAAGACACTCTTCAAGTGCACAACTCTACACCCTGCAAAAATATTCTAGGGGTTATACTCAATGCTAGACCTTCTCAGAGTAGACCCATTGAAGTTAATCATCAATTTAAGAAGGGTATTGACAAGCTGGAAAGTGTACAGAGGAGGGCAGCCAAGATGAGAAAGGGCCTGGAAACCAAGCCTTATGAGTAACAGTTGAAAGAATTGGGTATGTTTAGCCTGGAGAAGGGAGGACTGAGAAGTGATATGGAAATCACCTTCAAATATCTGAAGGGATGCCACATGGTGGGTGGAGCAAGCTTGTTTTCAGCTGCTCCACAGGATTCAAATTAGAAGAAAGGAGATTCTGAATAAATGTTAGGAACAACGTTCTGATGGCAAGAGCTGTTCAACAGTGGAATAGGCTACCTGGGAAGGTGGAGGACATTCCTTCATTGGAAGTTTTTAAGCTGAGCTTCAATGATAATTTTTCAGGGAATCTTTAGCTCTGATTTCTGTATTGCAGGGAGTTGGACTAGTTGACTCTCGGACTGTCTTCCAACTCAACAATTCTATGACTAACTTAGGCCCTTTAATTTCAGTGGGTATACTCTACGTAGAACTTAGTTGGATACCACCGCCTGGTCTATTTTCTTGCATTTGTGCAAAGCATGGAATAATTGTTAATTTGCTATTCAAATTAAGTCTCTGGCCCTCGTTGTTGACTGACCAAAAGTGCTTCACTAAAATGCTCCTCTCCCAGAGGCTCTCAGGAGGGTTGCATCCTGTAGTGATGGGTAGGGAATAAAAATTATGCAAGATCTGGCTCGTGCATAATCTTTTGGCTTCCTGTGGCAAGTCTTCATCTTGTCACCAGTTTTGTTTATGGGTGGTGTTTTCAATCCAGTTCCATTTTTACTGCAAACAATGGCAAATTTGCAAATGGCAACTCGTTTTAACTCCATGAATTGGCACTATAGCTGGATAAAAATTTGGAGATTCAGTTAACTGAGGCTGTAAGGAAGGAATAAGGAGCACAGTTTGTCCTCGACCCCAGCAATTTCTCTCCAACACACACTTTCGCTTTCTCTCACAACTGTCCAGCCCAGGACAACAGATGCTCTCACTTGAGAGTAATAAGGAAGAGATCTTTAATGAGACAGAGAAGACATACACGCACAACGACAGGTGATACACTCCAGCCAAGCGACAGAAAAGGCGAGACGAAGCAACAGTCCAAGTCTTAAGTAATCCAAGATCAGGGCAAGAAGATCAGAACTGCACAGAAGCAATGGAGTTGTCCCAGTTGGGGTGGCCCACCTGGCAGGCTGTTAAAGACAGGGCTTCAGCAATAGGGTACGGTGAAGCCGAGAGCAGACTCAAGCCTCTTCCCCTTCCTTCCCGTGCGCACGACAGATGATGGGGGGTGAGTTATTCTCGCTCTGCTGGAGCCTTAGGGTCCCCACTCTTCCATGGGGGTTTTTTCGGGGGTGCACCAAGCCCTGGAGGCACCCTCAACCCTTAAATTTCAGGACTTGTGTCGTCTTTTACTCCAACGACACAAAGCCCGCCACCATAACCTCTGCAGCAGACCGGAAGTCTCCACTCACTTGTGCCTTGCAAGACTGCTGAGCATGCAGACATTCACTGCATCTGTTCCCAGAGATGGGAGTGCTGCCGGTTCTTGGCCACCAGGCTGCACCCTCCGCTTCTGACTCTGCTTCCTCCACCGCCAGTAATGGGCTGACACCCTCTTTTTCCTTTCCCCAGGAGGGAAGAAGGCAGAAGGGATTCCTTCATCCAGATCTCTGTTCCCCGGCTTCAGCCTAGTCCCAGGTCACCCACCTGTTTCCCCCTCTTTGATCACATGGAGCATGTTCACACATGTGACCACACTGGAAACGAGTGGGGTGTAGGTTTAGAGTGTTGGACTACAACTTAGGGGACAAGGGTTCAAATACCCACTAAACCATGGAGCTCACGAGCTGACCTTGGACCAGTCACTTCTTCTCAACCCAGCCTACCTTACAGAGTTGTTGTGGGGTTTAATTGAGTAGGGCGAGAAGCATGCATGTCACCTTGAGCTCCTGGGAGGAAAAAGGTGGGATATAAATCAATCAATCAATCAATCAATCAATCAAATATCAAGAATCTTTTGGAGCAAGTGGAAGGATGTTTCTGTGCTGCAAAGCAATGTGCCTTTTTTTGCAGAGCATGGAGAGATAAGCTCCCCCCTCAGACAAACACATAAGGCCTCCCTCCTCTAAGCCCACCTTGCTAGATTGAATGATGAGCAATCCAAGGGAAAGACCCCCGTTCCAGAATAGGATCCTATGACCCCCTTTTTTGTATTGCCCATCACGCTATTGTCTAGACACCCTAGCTTTAATCTCTGCTTTTTCAATCTCCTCTTAAGACTCGGGCATTGGACAGCACAAAAGACACAGCAACGAAACAAAAGGCCTTGCGGTGCTCCTTGAAAACGAGAATTCTTGGAGTTCCTTTAATGGGTGCCTTAATTTGCAAGGAACTGTAAGTGGCATCTGAAACAGGCCTCGGTAGTTCCTGAATTCTTCATGAGCACTTAAGGGGTCCTGAGTGGGGAGGTGGCTATTCCCCACCAACACCCATCTCTGTTCTTAGCCCCTGCTTACAATTGGGAGCTGCCATAGTGCGTTTAATACGCTCGGATGCTCGAAGATAGTGGAGCCTCCCATTGGCCCTGGAAGAAGCCTGGGGGTGGGGGTTGGTAGCAGAGAGAGAGACAGACAGGGAGAGAGAGAGAGACACCCTGTACAGCTCCAGTCTTTTAAATGGGCAATGGAGCAGAAATATCCGGGATTCCTCCTGGATAGCCAGCCATAACCCAAGTCTCTCCATGCCTCACGGCTACAGAGCTATGCAGGCTTCAAAAAAGCACCCAGCAGTGTAGAATCTATAAAGCAGCATCAAGGGCCCTATTGTAAGATGCTGGAAAAGAGGGAGGGGAGCCACATAAGCTTATGTTGATGGGGAGTGGAAGGAGAGAGGTTTCCCTGCTCTGCCTCCAGTAGACAGAAGAGAGATTTCTGGAAGGGGAGGGGTGTCATTCCTCCCTAAAGACCTTTTCTGTCTGCATACTGCAAAAGGATCTGGGGTTGCTACTTAGTCGGCCAGCATTAGAGCCCGAAAGGTCTTCTCCTTTCTCCTTTTTGTGATGGAGGACAAAAGGAGCTGCAGGTCAAAGGCTCGGACAGGTAAGCATCCTCTGATTCCGATGCCAGCCTAGAAATAGAAGAGAGGTTGTTGTGGCTGTTCAAGTCAGCGCCGGGACTCTGTGAGGACAGGTGGTAGGAAGTGAATGGAGCCCCTAGATAACACTGGCAGCATTTTGAGCAGAGGTGTAACACTGGTGATAGATGCAGCACGAATGGACTTCTGCCAGGGGTCTCTGCATCCTAATTCTAGTCTGTGGACCAGCAAAGCTGTAGCTCACTGGTGGAACACATCCTTTGCTAGGAGATTTGCTGCCAGTCAGAGTAGGCATTGCTGGGCTTAGATCAGCCTTCTCCATCCTGGTTCCCTCTAAATGTCTTGGAGCTCGGAACACCTGCTTTGCATGTAGAAGGTCCCGGGTTCAATCCCTGGCATTGGCTGGGTTACAGGAAGGGAGTCTTTCCCAGCCCTACCTAGAGATGTTGGGGATTGAACCTATGACCTTCTGGATGTTAGGCCCATTGACCTCTGCTTAGCTTCAGGAGGGTAATTGAATTGATTGCAGTGGGAATGTTGAATTTCTCCTCCACCCCACCAAGATCCCAATGCAGATAACATCCCCACCTTTTATTTTAAAAATATGTGCAAATCAGTAATTTGGTGCAGAAAGTCCATGGCCCTAAACCTGCAACTGTAATGTCCTTTTAACCTTCATCACAAAAAAGTGCATGGAAGCAATAACAATTGAAAAAGGGTCGCCCCCCCCCCATTTTGACTGGGCTCCCTTTAATCCACAAATGCAATTGTAACATTTCTGGCTGGGGATTGTGAGATGAGCAATGGGACACAACATGCAGGTGTTAAAAACAGGAGGGAAATCTAGAAGATGTCTTAGTAGTGTTTCCTCTTCTTCATGCAACCACATGCACTAGAGACTTGATGGATTTTAAAGCAGAAGAGTACTGATAACGTAAAAGAACTCCCAAATTTTTTGTCATAAAAGAAGCTCCGGAATTTTTTGTCAATAGTTTTTGAGACTCCCAGAACATGAAGCTGTCAGGCATGCACAGAGCACGCAGGCCACAAAAGTGGTCCAACCACACCAGGAACCCCAGTTCATCCCAGAAGTCATATACAAGATGCTCATGTTGCCTTTTCCTGTACAGTGGTACCTCAGGTTACATACGGTTCAAGTTATAGACGCTTCAGATTACAGATTCCGCTAATCCATAAATATTACCTCGGGTTAGGAACTTTGCTTCAGGATGAGAACAGAAGTTGCGTGGCGGTGGTGGGGCAGCAGCGGGACGCCCCATTACGTAAAGTGATGCTTCAGGTTAAAAACAGTTTCAGGTTAAGAACGGACCTCCAGAACGAATTACCGTATTTTTCGCTCTATAAGAAGCACCAGATCACAAGACACACCTAGTTTTTGGAGGAGGAAAACAAGAAAAAAATATTCTGAATCTCAGAAGCCAGAACAGCAAGAGGGATCGCTGCGCAGTGAAAGCAGCAATCCCTCTTGCTGTTCTGGCTTCTGGGATAGGTGCGCAGCCTGCATTCGCTCCATAACACACACACACATTTCCCCTTACTTTTTAGGAGAGAAAAAGTGAGTCTTATAGAGCAAAAAATAGGGTAAGTTCTTAACCAGAGGTACCACTGTACTCTGAGTGATGACTTTGCTCTGTTTGACTTTGCTGTCCGTATTCTGAGTGAAGCTCCGCACTCTTCAGTGGCGCTCCATATTCTTCCATGTGTGTGTGAAGCTCCCGTGTTTCTTCCGTGTATACCATCAACTTCTGCCAAAGCTACAGGAACCCATTCTCTCCCCCCTTTGCAACTTCAGAGAAAAGAGTCTCAGTTAAAGCACCCGGCCACCTCTGCACAGAAATAGTACCATTTTGCAGGAGCCATTTCACTTTGCAGCAACCAAGCTCCCTTGCCAGGTCAACGCAAAGTTAATTTTCACCCTGTGCCTCTGCGCAGGTGAGGATTATGCACCAATCCTTTCTGTGGTTCCGCTGACATTCCTTTGAAGAGGGATCAGAAATATATTCCTTTGTGTAGCTCCTTGCTTTCTTCCAAATCATTTGATATACTCAGCAGCCCCTACACTTTCTTTGCGGGAGGCGATGGCCACAGTGTCCTCTGCTTAACCATGTTTCAAAGCAGGCTGCTGCATGAATTGCCTCTTCCAGCTTGTGACAATCCTTGCTGATTAGCTTGTGCATGCAGACGATCTGCTAATGAGATGTGAAAGAGTGTGCAAAGATCGTGCCTGTCTCCAGCAAGCTTACCTTGTCATCCTGCTCCCCAGATTTCTCTCTGCCTTAAGGAAACCAACAAGAGGGTCACCACTGGAATTCACCTCCCTCTAATCATAAGAGACCGTTAGAGTAAAAATTCTGCAACCAGAAAAGCTGGGCTTTGTGACCTCCATGAAATATTCAGGCGCGCATCAATTTTGAGATTTTATGCTGCTGGGATGTGGAAAGGAGTTGAGGATTGGCTCTGAAGGCCATCCCTCTGGCAGCTGAAAATCTATTCAGCACTTCCTCTGCTTCTGAGATTTTCAGCAGGCATTGCACGCAACCATTTAAGCATTGTATGCATGTGTTCATAATGGCTAGAATTTTTTTTTTAAGCAGAAGCTGAGATTCTTCAGAAGGTGAATTGTATACCTTACATTTGTGCAGAATTTCAACTCCTGCACCCCACCCAAAAATAGTCTTGATGACTGGAATGGTCGTATCTTTCTCTTTCACTATTGCCTTTTGATGTCAGGGTTTATGTGCATGTAAGCATGCTTAGCCTTTCTGCAATATGTCAATTGTCTTATTTACAACACCTGTCACACTTTGCAGTGTACATTGTGCTGTTACCCTCTCAATAAGGGCTAGTGAGCTAGTGGCTCCCCGTGTAAATGCTGTAGCATGTGAATATTTTCAAATGCATTTATAGATTTTTTTTGCTAAGAAAGAAAGAAAGAAAGAACGTAAGTAGGAAGGAAAGTCTGCCATGCTACAAGGCAAAAGACCACACCTTGAATTTAGGAGAGCCTGCCCACATTTAGAGGAACCCTACTTTGGGCTGCCTCAAACCTGGAGCTGGCCCCTACTAGGCAGACAGCACAAGAAGGAATTTATCAAAAATTTGGTTGACCACCACACATTGCTAGCAAGCTGCATTTGACCCTGTTCATGAGCATCTATCCCTCCTGGGTTATGTGAATGAGCAGATTTTACCTTTGGGCTCGCACACCCCCACCTTCCCTATTTTCTGCCATGACTTCAGGAAAGATATCAGAAGCACCCCTTTGCCCCTTTTAGCTAACAGCAGCTTCTTGTTAAGTCTGAATTGGAGGAAACTCTGGTTTGTTTATGCTTTATTGAAGCATGCCAAGATGAAGCTATGGCTAATCTAAAGAATTTGAGAAGACCTCCATCTAGTGCTGCAGCCAGATGCCTAGGGGGAAGTTTAAACCATAGTTTAAACCAGGCACCCCCAAACTCGGCCCTCCAGATGTTTTGAGACTACAATTCCCATCACCCCTGACCACTGGTCCTGCTAGCTAGGGATCATGGGAGTTATAGGCCAAAAGCATCTGGAGAGCCGAGGTTGAGGAAGCCTGTAGCAGCCCATCAACCCTCTGCCAAAATAGGGCGCCTCTTCTTAGCTTGCAATAGCAGGTCTTCTCCCTCTGCTGTGTGACCATTTCCACAACGACTCGGAGAAGCAGAAAACAAGAAGGACAGCGGGGCCTGGCTTCCTGTTTCATTTCCTTTTATTAATCTAGATTTCTGAACTCCTGAATTCCAAAGCTGTCTTGCAATAGCACCACACCAGACTGAGAAGAAGGAAGGGGAGCGCTTTCTTTCCCATTGCAGTGCTGGGCTAGGCAGAGAGAAAAGTCTCCTCTCTTCCCAGTGCTGCACTGGGGGGGGGGGGCAGGGCAAACACACCCCTCTGTTTATTGGCAGAAGAGTCTGTGTGGGGTTGTCTTGAATACGTGCGCATGTCTATACCCGCCTGTCAATCAGTTCAAATTAGTGTATACAGTGGTACCTCGGGTTGCAGACGCTTCAGGTTACAGATGCTTCAGGTTACAGACTCCGCTAACCCAGAAATTGTACCTCGGGTTAAGAACTTTGCTTCAGGATGAGAACAGAAATCGTGCGGCGGCAGCAGCAGGAGGCCCCATTAGCTAAAGTGGTACCTCAGGTTAAGAACTGTTTCAGGTTAAGAATAGACCTCCAGAACGAATTAAATTCTTAACCCGAGGTACCACTGTATAGCCAAAGGCTTTCACAGAAAGCAAGACATTCCTCTAAAATCAAACAACACACAAGTCTGTAACTTACAGCATAAAAATTTAAAATCACAACGCATCACCACAAGCTTCTTAGCTGCCAGAGAAAATTTGGCTACCAAATGTGTCATTTGTATTGGCTAAGAGTTCAGCTGTCACTTTCCTGGGAGAACCAATAGAAAATTGGAGATGATCTATTCTCCCCGTCCCCCTCTGGGCACTGTATATAAAGGGCAAACCTGCCTGTCGGTAGGTACACCTGCATGCCTGTGTTAGTGCCTCTTTGCATGTTCATTTGCCTGCCCAGGGCTGGCTTAGGATGTTTTGCCACTCCAGGCAAAACTGGGGGGGGGACGACTGGAAAAAGGCTGCCCACCCCCATAGCAACCCTAGCCTCCTCTCCCTCCTCTGCAGACCTCCAACAATTGGGAGAGTAGGCCCTGGCAATGGGCTGGCGAGGGACAACTGGCTGGCATCTGAGTGGGCAGGGACTGCAGCCGCACTGCCCCTCCTAGCTCTCCAGAGCCTACTGACCTGAGGCAACCTCCTCACCATGCCTTACGGGTGTGCTGGCCCTTCCTGCCTGTGTCCTGTGCACACAAGGCAATGCTCATTGGTCACTTTGGCCACACCCTCCTCCGTGGCCCTTGTAGGGTTGGCCAACCCTCAGGCCAGATCTCAAGACATATGGAGAGAAGATCCACTCCCAGTTTGGTGCAATGCCCAAGCCTTACATGCTTGCGCAAATATAACATGCACTGATCTGTAGGTGGACATGATGCTTTTGGGTTCTTTTTGCATGGGGAAGCTTCCAGTGAAAGAACCCCCATTGTAAACATATAGGGAAACATGTGTTAGAGCAGCTCAGCCTTGGGAACTCCACTCCCAGCTGTTTTGCGAAGTCACAGCAAGTCTCAGTCAACCTTGAAGCTTCATCTTGCCGCTAGCAGTGCTCCGGTGTGGTGCTTTTGCAGCTTAAAAGAGTTAATTCTGGTCCATCTATTAAAAGCAAAGGCATCAGATGTGAATGAAAGTTATAGAAATAATTGGTCGGTTGGGAGGTGGTGGTGGGGAAGGGGGAAAGAGAAGAAAATGGGAAGCTAATATATTCTTAAAAGTACATTATTGTTTGCATAGTGAAATTACTTTCATGAAAAGTGTGAGAATCGCTTGTCAGACAGAAAGCTTGTGGCGGGCGGGGGGGACAGTGTCTTCTACAGTGCCTGTTGAGATAAATCTAAATTCAAGGTGTACACAGTCTTTAAAAAAAAAAAAAGATTTGGTGCAATGCCATTAAGTAAGTGTCTGGAAATTAAACCTTTTCTAAACGATATGAACAAAACAACCACCACCTTGGGTTTGTATCCAGTGCTAATCAGAGAAGACACATAGAAATCATTGGAAATGACTAAGGACCATGTTCACATCATATGTTTAAAGCATTATGATGCTACTTTAAACACTAGGTAACGTCTGGCCCCATGGTTCATTTTACATATCATAAATCCCTGCATATTTTACAGAAACTATACTGTTCAGTATTCCATTATTACATCTATCATAACTTTTTTACACTTTTGAATTTATCTTAATGCTGCCAGTGTTTTCAGCTGTACGCAATTATTTCCCACATATTCAGTAAACGTTTTCCAATCTTCTGTAAACGCATGTTCTTCTTGTTCTCTTATTCTATGTGTTAAGTCTGCAAGCTGCGCAGATTCCGTCCAACTTAAGTTGCCATTCTTCTTTGGTTGAGACCTTCGCTCGTTTTCCATTTTGGGGCTAACAAAACACGGGCCGCAGTAGTGGCGTACATAAATAACCTTTCCCGACACCTGGGAATTTCAGTCTGAATTATCCCCAACAGAAAGGACTGTGGTTTTTTTTGGTTTTTTTTGGAAAGTACTTTTAAACATTTCCCCCCAATTCATTATGGATCATTTCCTAATACCCTTTTACAAGCCCGCCACATATGCAACTGAGAACTGTAGCTTGTCAAGGAAATCTGGGAATCACAGCTCCATGAAGTTAATAGGGGTCTCCTAGCAGCTCTCAACACCCTTAAGAAACTACAGCTCCCAGAATTCTCTGGGATATGCCATGGCAGTTTAAAGTGGTACTGCAGTGCTTTCAGCGTATGGTGTGAATGTTTCCTAAGCTAAGCCCATGAATTTCAACGTGTCTGTTCTGATTAGAACTTAGCTGGATCCAGCCCTTTTGCTTTTGAGCGTAAACATGATGTCGCGGACTAATTAACCTGTGCCGTTTTCCTTTTCCTTTTCATTCCTGACCTCTGACCTGTGTCTCCTTTCCCCCCACCCTTTCCCTGACCTTTCTCATTGGCCCATATCAGTGAACAGGCAAGACAGTCTGAGCCCAGTCATGGAAGACTATGATATCAGGTCTGCTGCCAGCATTTTGGCATCCGTTAAGGAGCAAGAGGCTCGTTTTGAGCGCCTCACCCGGGCCCTCGAAGAGGAGCGGCGCAATGTCTCCTTGCAACTCGAACGCGCCAATCAGCCCTCCGACCGAGTGACCATGTGCAACATTGGCAGTGCTCAGCCCCTGGCAACTGCCTGGCAGCAGCTGGTCCTGCAGGTAAACTGCCTGCTCTTATTGCTTGTCCCCTCTGCGTTGTGCATCATCCCCACCCGTCTCCATCACCAACGTCCATTTACCGTATTTTTCACTCTATAGGACGCACCTTTTCCCCTCCAAAAATTAAGGGGAAATGTGTGTGCATCCTATGGAGCGAATGCAGGCTCCTTGGCTTCAGCGATAGCAATGTGAAGCCTCCGAAGCGCAGAGGGAGCGCTCCCTCCATGCTCCGGAGGCTTCACGTTGCTTTCGCTGAAGCCTGGAGAGTGAGAGGGGTTGGTGCGCACCTACCTCTCTCGCTCCCCAGGCTTCAGGGATGGCCGCCTGAAGCTTTTGGAGTGCAGCGCGAGTTCCCGCTGTGCTCCGCAGGCTTCAGGTTTCTTTCGCTGAAGCCGGGATAGCAAGACTCTCCTGGCTTCAGCAGAGAGGGAGAGCTGCGCAGCGCCCCTTCAGCTAAGCGGGAGGAGAAATGGAAGGGGCTCCGTTTCTCCTGCCACTTCGCTGAAGGGGCACTGAGCAGAGAGGGGGAGATTTTTTTTCCTTGTCCCCCCCCCTCTAAAAGAAGGTGCGTCCTATGGTCGGGTGCGTCCTATAGAGCGAAAAATACGGTAAATATGAAAGACATTTATTCGTGGGTCATGTTTTGTATACCAGCCACCTTTTCCATTTTGTTGGGAGTTTCTCGAACCAGTGGGGGGCAGTAGACGGAAAGGCAACCTCTTCTTCCCTCGCCGATTCCTTCTTGATTAACTTCCTGTAGATGGTTCTCTCTCTCAGGCTTTACTTCCTTCCTGCTGCTTCTTCGGTGTTAGTGTTGGACCTGCCTTTTTTCGTTAACCTCATTACTCCGTGGTGGCCAGGTGTAAGCCTGTACTCAAGATGGCTTTGTTTGCTAGGAGGAATAAACCTTAAGTTTCTTTTTTCTTTTTCTTTTTTTCAAAATAATCTTTATTGTTTTTTTAATTACATACACATATTGCATTGGAGACGCGGGTGGCGCTGTGGGTAAAAGCCTCAGCGCCTAGGGCTTGCCGATCGAAAGGTCGGCGGTTCGAATCCCCACGACGGGGTGAGCTCCCGTTGCTCGGTCCCAGCTCCTGCCAACCTAGCAGTTCGAAAGCACTCCCAGGTGCAAGTAGATAAATAGGGACCGCTTACTAGCGGGAAGGTAAACAGCGTTTCCGTGTGCGGCTCTGGCTCGCCAGAGCAGCGATGTCACGCTGGCCACGTGACCCGGAAGTGTCTCCGGACAGCGCTGGCCCCCGGCCTCTTGAGTGAGATGGGTGCACAACTCTAGAGTCTGTCAAGACTGGCCCGTACGGGCAGGGGTACCTTTACCTTACCTTTATTGCATTACATTTTACATTTGTACTTGCTCCTAGGAGCTGACTTCCCTCCTTCCTTCTTCTGGCTTTTTTATATCGTCTCTAAATTTTGGAATAAACCGTAAGTTTCGTTATCGTTTCAGCCGACGGTCTTAACCAGGCTATTTATCAACGCACTCTGCCGATATATATGTTCTATCTAACATCCTTCAAAGAGCTCAAGCTTAGGCCTGGTCAACACATGTTGGGAAATGAGGTAGTTGGATGTTGTGAAAAGATTGGAATGGACTGCAAGGGCAGAAGCGGCATATCTTGCAAAGTGACTGTCTGGAGTGCCTTTAAAGGTTTTAACCTTTAAAGCCCTATACGGCCTAGGACCCTCGTACCTACGGGACCGCCTCTCCTGGTATGCCCCACAGAGGAACTTACGGTCTTCAAACAAAAACATCCTGAAGGTCCCAGGCCACAGAGAGGTTAGGCTGGCCTCAACCAGAGCCAGGGCTTTTTCGGCTGTGGCTCCGATCTGGTGGAACGCTCTGTCACAAGAGACCAGGGCCCTGCGGGACTTGACATCCTTCCGCAGGGCCTGCAAGACAGAGCTGTTCCACCAGGCCTTTGGCCAGGGCACAGCCTGACTCCCTCCCTCGGCAATCTTCGCGGAGCTCTGGCCCAATGGTTGCCAGTGGCTTGAATTAATTAATTTTAGAATGAATGATTTTAGAGTGTTGTTTATGCTGTACTTTTGTACTGTTTTATTGTTGTTAGCCGCCCTGAGCCCGGCTTCGGCTGGGGAGGGCGGGATAGAAATAAAATTTATTATTATTATTATGTGTTTACATATGAGCATGAGGCTCAGGGCCACTAAAACTGAGGATTGTTAAAACTGAATGGAGACCTGGAACAAATCACAGCAACCAGGAGTGCTCATGTTCAGAGTTTCAGTCACCTGGACACACTCCTCTCCAGGATACTCAATTCGCCACCCCGGTTTCCTGTCCCCCACCTCAGCAGTCATATAGAAGTGTAGGGTTGGAAAGGGGCCCGAGGGTCATCTAGTCCAACCCCCTGCAATGCAGGAATCACAGCTAAAGAATCCCTGGCAGATGGCCATCCAACCTCTGTTGAAAAACCTCCGAGGATGGAGAGTCCACCACCTTCCAAGGTAGTCCATTGGATCAGGACTACAGCTCTTGCGTCAGGAAGTTCTTCCTAATGTTTAGTTGGAATCTCCTTGTTTTTTGAATCCATTGATTCAGGACAATCGGCATTCTTTGCCCAATGAGCATGCTTATTCTACGCTGGGCTGCTTTTCAGTTCCTCCCCTATTTAAGGCCCCCCCCCTATTCTTTCTTAAGAATGGCAGTGACCACTCTGACTGCCAGCATCACTTCAGGGTTTTAGACAAGGGGTTTCCCTAGCCCTACCTGAAGATATCAGGGATTGAACTTGGGACCTTCTGCATGTAAATCACTGGATTATGGCCCCATCGCCAAACAGAAACAGCTGTGCTGGTGTTGTCTCTGGAGCATGTTCAGTAAATGGTCAAACCACCTGCAATCTCAGGTAATGCAGTCTGTTCTGATACCTCTTATTGCTGCATGTATAGGCTACACCTTGGGGTAGCCTGGGCTTTTAGTCAGCCTTTTATTGTATAGCATGGTGGGTGTCCTCCGCACCTTGTTACCCAGGGTTCCTGGGCTCCTTCATACTCCAGCAGTACACTCCAGACTGACTCTTTATATGCAGTACTATTGTAAATTGGAGCACTTCTTGGTGTTGAGATTTGGTTTTTCGTTTGCATTCTGTTCCCTGAGAACATAATTTGAGTAAAGTCAACAAAATGGGAGTGGCGGATAGGTTTGTGTCAACTTCTCCAAGGTCTAGATTTTGTTTTGGGGGGCACCAAGTGCTCTGGGTACTGGCTGAATTGAAATGGATGTCCAAGTCCTTTCCGCAGAGCAGAAATGAAGGCTTGGTTTCTCTTTGTGAATATCTTGTGTTGTGATATTTGCAATTGGCCTCATGTTGATTTGGGTACAGTGTTATGTTGGGGTCCAGTGCTGGAAGCCCATAGAGAAGGAGGCAAGGTTGCTGAGGGATTACAGGACCACGGATAGCTCCAAGCGAGAGACGGTTGAACCTCTGAAAAAGGGTGGTCCATCTTTTCATTTTAAGTGCACTACAAAAGCATAGTACTTCAATATGGAACCTGTGGGGCACACACTGCCTTGCATGGGTGGGTGGAGCGAGGCCAAAATTTGACCCTCCCAGCCCTAACTGGTTACACCCTGTTTTACAATGTCCTCCTCCTGGTTCTATTTCGTACCTCAAGATTACATGTCCTCTTTATTTATCTTCTGATGGAGTAAAGGAGCAGGCATGGGTGCCTCATTTTTCTCTAGGCAGACCAGAACTAGAAACTTTTCTACCCAGGCTATGTGTTTTCTACAACAACCAACTTGATTGTGTGTGGTTTTGCAAGTATCTTCAGACCTCTATGTTGGGTTAACAATGTCAAGGGTTCCATCACGGGTGCAGAGAGAGTCACTTGGTCTTGCAGTAATCAAGTGCCAAGCATACATGTATGAACTAGGCTTTAGTTTCAAAGGCAGACCCAGAAACTGCTACTGAGAGTGTGAAAAAGGCCCCTGGTTGTGTTAGGTGACAGAAACTGGGCAAAAAAGCTACTTGGGTTTATCTACTTTGGGGATTAAGGAGTTTCTGAGAATTCTGCTTTGGGACTAGGACTGTTTCTGTTGGAGAACTTTATCCATTTTCTGCAACAGTAGTTCGGAAGGACCATAGCTCTGTCTGTCTCCAAATCAGTCTCTTAAGCATAAGCCAAGAAAGATTGAATACCAATACACATATCAAGACTTTGAGATTAGACAAATGAAGAAGCCCGGAAAACTATCTTGGGAGTGTCCTACCTGCCACAGTTAAAGGGCCCCATCAGGGGCGAATAGCGGCCTTTTGATTACTTGGACTGGCAGGGCGAAACAGGTGCAAAACTCCGGCACCCTGTTGTCTACAACTTCATTGTCTACAACTTTATTAACATCTATCTACAACTCTACTAGGAACGCAGGTGGCGCTGTGGGTTAAATGACAGAGCCTAGGACTTGCTGATCAGAAGGTCGGCGGTTCCAATCCCTGTGACGGGGTGAGCTCCCATTGCTCGGTCCCTGCTGCTGCCAACCTAGCAGTTCAAAAGCACATCAAAGTGCAAGTAGATAAATAGGTACCGCTCCGGCGGAAAGGTAAACTGCGTTTCCGTGCGCTGCTCTGGTTCGCCAGAAGCGGCTTAGTCATGCTGGCCACATGACCCGGAAGCTGTACGCCGACTCCCTCGGCCAATAAAGCGAGATGAGTGCCGCAACCCCAGAGTCGGTCACGACTGGACCTAATGGTCAGGGGTCCCTTTACCTTTACCTTTACAACTCTAGTAGCATCTCTCGGTATTGTGAATATCACCAAACTTACCTTTTGTTGCTATCTTCATGAACTTATCTAAAAAGTCTTTTAGAATGAACTTACAATGTCTGGTTTCAATAGATTTTTTTCAAATGTTTAACTCAGTCAACATTTGAAAAAAATCTATTGAAACCAGACATTGTAAGTTCATTTTAGGCTGGGTAGTTCGCAAGTCTTTGTGACTTTGTTTAATGTTTTGTA